GGGATACTCAGATGGTTATCATGCAACTGAGTGACAGGTCTTTCTTTTCAAGGCAGGATGGCAGGATATCCCTAGTCAGAGATGGCAGAATGGGTTACCAGGGCTGCAAGCTCTGTGACAGTGGGCAAGGGAGATCATCAAAGTTTCTTTCATCCATCTTATTTATTTGAGATTGACAGCTGTTTGATTCTGGCCCTACTGGCAGAAGAATTGACATTTCACATTTTATTGACATTTCACTATTTTATGCCATCTGGTTTCATCATGGTGGCTGATTTAAAACTCCCAACGTGGAGCATCACTGTTCAATAAGAATAGTAGAGAACACACAGCTGCTTATTTGGTTATTTTGTCAGAATCTGAGAAGACATTTACATTTCACACTGGCCCAAATGGCTAATGACTGTTTGTTTTAGCACTTTTCAACTGTTCATCTCTATTAGTTTACACATCTCAACACAACACAGAGAACTGATGAACACCAGAAGTGAATGACACACACATGGCCCTGAAGTCTTAAGAGCTGATCTTAATGTTGCTCAGACCGCCAGAAATATCAGAATGGATCTTGATTTCAAAGGTTTTTATGGGGGGGAAACTTCATAACCTCCTTTAGCAACCATAGTTCCATTAGGAAATCGATTGCTCCACTTCGAAAATTATACATTATCCACCAGGTACTGGATCAAAGCACTTCTAAAGCACTGATAAACAGTTTATTTTATTATTTTTGGTGGTTTTCTGCTACCTCTTGCATAGGTTACAAAGGACTTTATGGGGGTGAATTTTACATGTGAATTACATTTCAATTTAAAAAGTGACAAAGAGCATCCCATTACATACACACACTTTATTTACCTAAGTATGTAGGCATGCATGCATTTACTTCTGTGTGTTCTTGTTTGTTCAGCTTTCAAAGGAAATACAGTGCAAGTAATATAAAGAACATCTCCCAGCAATGGCAACACTTTTGCTTCTCTTCCATCTCCAAATGTAGAACCCTTGATTCTCTCCAATCATAATTCCTATCCACAGCTTTTACTTCTTATATTTAGCTTGACATTTCCCATACAATTTGCCTTTTGTTTCTATTGGCAGGTACTTTCCATGACCTTAAAGAATCAATTTATTTATTTTTGCTTGATTCTGTTACTTATTTTCCATAGTATTGATAAAGCCTCTTGTTGCAGATCATCTTGCTACATAAGCAAAACTCCCCCAGGTTCACTTTGAGATACTTGGTTCCCACTGTCAGGTCACCCACACCTGGTTTCATCTCCCTCCACCCAATCCATTTCTTCAGGGATCTCTGAGTACTGTCAAGCTCATTGTTCACTGTGCATACACACATATTCCTAGTTCTTTGGGGCTACATCATTACCTATGAGCTGAGCCTTTTCTTCCCATCATTTGGCAAACTGATGAAAAACAGAAAACATTTTCTACTTTCTTTTTAATTCTCTCTTTTCATTAAGATTGTTCCCTATCCTCAGAACCTAGTCAATGCATGTTGCTGAATTATGGGAGCCATGTTCACCAAGGTCAATTTGAATTTCAGTCCTCTATTCCAGGGCCCTATCTGTCCCCACGTGACTGTCTCAGCTGCAAATGCACGAAGCATGCTTTCCATCCCATCTCACCCAGGTACATTGATAAAGCTGTTAAACAATAATAGGCCAGGGCCCAGGCACTGGGGAAACACCTGTTCTTTTACTCCAGGTATCACTGATCACTGATAGCCACTCTCGGTACAGACCTCCAGCCAATTCCCCTGTGATGCCTACAATGGGTTCCCCCCCTGGTGACTTCATGTATCTATCTGGAAACAGTTGCTTGTTCAAAGGTGTTTCATGACCAAGATACAAGCACAGTTATAATGATAGATTAATATTTAATAGAATGTTAAATCATTTGCTAGGTAAAATAAAAGGACCATGAGGGTTCCTTAATATGTCTTGCATGTAAGAGAAAATAAGGCAATTAATTATTGTACAGGGGAGCAATGTTGAATAGCTCAATCTTTGCACTCTACTTATTAAAAAGTTCTAAGGCTTACTAACGAGATATTTATAACATGCACATTATGATTCACTTTTGAGGATAGTACAGAATCAATGACTTTCACAACAGACTCTTCATTTTTCTCATGCCTGTTTTTGTTATTTAACATTACTTTCTATCTAGTAGCTTGTAATTCTGATGCAATGGAGTCTTTCTAGGTTGACACCCCACCTTAAAATAAAATTAAACACAAAAGAAACCCAAGGTTAAATAAAAAAGAGATTTGGGTCCTAAGAACAGGGATGGATGGCATAAACAGTGTCATTTAGGATTTTAGTTTTATTTTATGATTGACAAACATGGTCAAATGAAAGCTGCCTAGAGGTATTTTACCTGTTCTTGAAGACCCCCTACCCCTGTGACTATCACAAACACTAAGTATAACTTGGCTCCTCTTTAAAGAGCTTTGTCAGAAGTTTCTCCTTCCTTCATCCTTCCTTTACCCACCCAAACTGCACCCATATTCACCACCGCAAAAATTATGTGGGCTGCTGAGTCAGAGCTGTGGCTCTCATCTCAACCTTGTCCTTTATAATTGTGAGAAGTTGGACAGCTAATTAGTTTATCAGTTTCTTCATCTGTAAAATGAAAAATATGTATTACTTTTTGGAGGGATTTAAAAGGTTTGTTAAACCAATATATTTTTAGAAATACCTGAATCTTATCTGTCTCATGGTAAACAGATTAAAAAACTTTACAAGGTTGAGTTTCTACAGCTTGAATATCCTTTATCCAAAATGATTAGGACCAGAAGCATTTCAGATTTCAATTTTTTTCCAGTATTGGAACATTTGCATATTCCAAATGAGATATCTTGAGAACAAGACCCATGTCTAAACATGAAACTCATTTAGATTTCATATACACTTATAAACTTGAAACAAAGGTAACTTTAGATATTACTTTTAATAATTTTGTCCATTAAACAGTTTCATGGTGTGAAATTTACCACTTGTGAGGTCATTTTGCTCTCAAAAATTCAGACTTTCAGGTTAGGAATGCTGAAACTGTATTATATTCTTGCACAAAATACTTTCTTCTACTTATGAGAAAACATTAGATATATCTGAATGGAGGGATATTTTGTTTTAAAAAGAACTCAGGAGCTGTCCCAGTATAGGAGAATATACTGACATAATAACTAAATGCAGTGTGGAGCCTGGATTGGATCCTAGAAGAGAAAAACAATATTAGTGAATAAACACTGCAGTTAAATTAATAGCATTGTACTGATGTTAATTTCCTGGTTTAGATAATGATGCCATTGTTATATGAGATATTAACATTAGAGGAAGCTGGGTAAGGCATACTCAAAAATCTTCTGTGCTATTTTTGCAACTTATCTGTATGTCTAAATCATTTTTAAACATTTCAAAATGTTATTTTTAATGTAAAAAAATCTTAAAATTCTATTTTGCTCTTTATAAAATCTGCACATTTTTAGTATAATTTCTTTTACCTCCTATTGTTCTTGGGGCCATCTTTTATATTTTTATCATTGTAAACTGATGTCATAAAAGGGGCTTTGTGGAAAGAGGAAACCAAGTATGGCTGTTGGCTTTGCCCATGTTCACGACACTGTTGATCTTGGCAAGGCAGCTGTATTGGGGTCAGAAGCCTACCTGGAAAGGGCTCTGTGGAGAAGGGGACACATGGATGGAGGAAGCAGGCATGTGCAGTGCTTTCAGGGAGGATGGCTCTGAAAAGAAGGAGGAAAGGACCAAGACATCAGTGACAATGGGGACCTGAGAGGGCCTTGGAGATGAAATCTGTTCCAGCATATTGGTTTGTTCATTATAATAATCTAATACAAGAGAAAAATGTGATGATGGAGGTGGAGCAGAGGGAGCTGCAGGAATAAAGCCCTGGGTTGGAGAGAGGTGGGCCTTAGAAGCAGGGAGCTCTAATCCTCTTTTTTTTTTTTTTTTTTTAATATTCTATTAGTTGTTCATAGACCTTTATTTATTTATGTGCTTATTTATTTATTTATTTGTATGTGGTGCTAAGAATTGAACCCAGTGCTTCACACATGGTAAGCAAGCGCTCTGCCACTGAGCCACAATGCCAGCCCCAGTTCCTCTTTAACAAGGTGAAAGGCAGGCTTATAGGCACACAGATAGTCAGCTGAGAGGATGGGAGAGATGATGAAAAGGCTTTTTAGTTATGAATGGTCCTGAACTTTATGCTGATTTGACATGATTTTTGAACTTTATGATGGTGTAAAAGCAACATCTATGCGGTAGAAACTGTACTCTGAATTTTGAATTTTGACCTTTTCCCAGACTAGTAATGTGCCATACAAGACTCTATCAGAATGCTGAATAGTGCAGCAGCTGCAGCTCCAGTTGGCCCTGTGATCATGTGGAAAACAATCAAAGCTACAGAGCACTGTGGTGCTAATCTAGGAAGTTCAGGGGACTAGGTATAGTAAATACATTTTTTCCTTATCATATTTTTAACTTACAATGGATTGATTTTTTTTTTTTCAACTAAGCAGGTGACTTTTAAAACAAACACGAAACTGACATTCAGAGGGAAAGGGATCAGTGGCTGAGTTAGGGCGGCCTAATCAGCCACACTGAGGAAGCAGGAGAGAATGGGTACGAATGATCAGGCAGTGGGTGAGGGGAGCTGACTCAGTTATTCCCAAGGGGCTTGGGGCGAAAGGTTTGGAACCTTACTCCATCCCCAGAGCTCCCCTTAGAACCATAATTTCCCTTTCTTAAAACTTACCCTCCCCCCTCAAAAAAGTGTAAAAGTTGGTTGTTTTTTAGTGAGCTAAAGGGAGCTCCAATGTGGCTTTTTAAAATCTTCCTTTTGAAGGGCTTAATTTTTTTTTATCTGTAAAAAAATGCAGTAGTTTTGAGGGGGGTGCACCCTTAGAAGTGGTTAAGTAGAACCTTGTATAAACACCCTTCCCCGGCCCTTCCTTCCTTTGAGGGCAGCAATCCCATCCCATCCTCTCTCCCAGACATTAGAAACATCTTTTAAACAGAAGTCCTTGAATAATCCAATATAAAAGTACATGCCTCTGCTGGGCATGGAAGGGGCTGTGGAGGGGCAGGAGGAGCTTTCCTTACGTAGTGATGAACTCTCCAGCTGGGGAAGGGTCCCAGTGGGGAAGGGCTGTTCCTGGAACTGTGATCTCCGTGGGGGGCAAGGGGGAGAGATGTCTGGCTGGATCCTCACTGTGGAGGTGGTACAGGGGTGACTGTCCCTGGACTTGGGGCCGTGGGGTCTGGAGGCAGGGGAGTGCCTGGGTCTGGCAGTGGGCTGGCACTGGGCAGGAGGTTTCCCTGAACAGCTGCCACAATGGCAGGGCTCTGGGCTGCGGCGGATCCGAGCCCCGGCCCGAGAGGCAAGGAAGATGGCATGGTGGTGGTCGCCGGCAGGTTAGGATGTAGAGGGTTCGCCATGGACACAGGCAGGTTAGGTGGGGGGAGTGTGCCCGGGGCGAACGGGAGATGGTGATGATGCCCATGCAGGTTAGGAGGAGGGGGAAGGTTAATACTGATGGAGTCAGCTAGACTGCCAAATGGGATGATGGATGGAGCAGGAGGAGGAGGAGGCGGCATGCCAAAAGGCAAACCCAAAGGAGCATTACCCGCCACGCCTGGGTGCCCGCTGCCTGGCACTGCCCCTGGCATCATTGAGGGAGGAGTTTGTTGGTTGGGGAACGGTGAGGGGCCATGGGGTCCGGGGGGGGTACCCCTGGTGGGACTGCCCCAGGCTGGGGGGCTCCAGTTGGTTGTGGCTGCTGTGGCCCTGCTGTTGGTCCTGCCTGCCCAATCTGTTCAGAAGGGCCCAAGCTTCCAGGAGGGGCCCCACTGCCAGCAGGAGCAGGGGCCACAGAGGCTGAAGCCACAGCTAGGCCATGAATTGTGGGTGGCCCAGCAGCCCCTGAGGGGGGTATGGGCTGGGAGCCTGGAGGCAGGGTTGGTGGTGGCTGCTGCTGCTGTTGGTGCATCTGCTGGAAGTGCTGCTGCCGTGCCCTCATCTCCGCATACTTCAGCTGCTCCATGTGGAAGGCTTGTCGGTCTGCTAGGAGCTGCTGCCTCTGATACTCCAGTGCTTCCCGCTCCCGGTCCATTATTGTCTCCAGCTCCTCAAAGTGTCGAAGTTTGATCTCCAGTTTTTTCATCTGGGTCTCCACCAGCAGGGCCACCAAAGATTTGATCTTTCTTTCCTCAACAGCAGCCAAGTGCTTGGCCTTCACTGCAGCGGCAGCCAGAGCAGCAGCGGCAGCAGTGGAGAGGTTACCCTCACCAATATCCCGTTCCACCTTTGTCTTCCTTTCCCCCTCTGACTCCACCACTTCCTTTAATATTTCCTCCTGTCCTTCCTTTGGTTCCTTCTCCTTCTCAGAGTCAACTATCGGGTCCCCATCACTCTTCTCTGACTCCTTCTCACTGTCGCCTTCTTTTCCTTTCTCTTCATCCTTCTTGGGAGCCTCACTTGTTTTCTCCTTTGCTTCCTCCTCTACAACCCCTCCTTCTCGGGGTTCCTTGGGCTCCTTCTTTTCATCTGTGGCCTGGCCCTCTGCCCGTGCCTCATCGGTCCCGCTCTCCTCAATGCGCTCAGGCTCATCGGAGGTGGTTCCTGCAATGCCACTGCTTTCCAGACCAAAAGCTGGGTCAGCCTTGCCTGTCACTTTGGCTGCTTCTTCCACTTTCCGAACATGGGCCTCCACCAAGGCTGTGGGCACCTCTTCCTTCATTTTGGAAAACTCTTCTAGGGCTGACTTTGCAGCTGCAGAAGCGACTCGGGGATCGACGACAGAGGCCAGAAAGGCAACCGTGCTCATAACAGGGTTGCCCGACTGACTGAAGGGGATGGGCTGGTAGGCCAGGGAGCCCAGGGAGGCCTCTGAGTCTTCCAGGTAGGGGTCTTCAATGGGAAGGCGAAGAAAATGCAAGATACATTCGTCCTGCGTACGGCTTCCCACATGCTCGGATACTTTGTTCCAGTCATCCTTGTACATTTCCAGGGCCTCCAGGAGTAGCAGGGTTTCCTGTTCTGTCCACTCTCGAGTAGCACTGGCTGCAGCTTTGCTCTTGGAGGGAACATTCTTCTTTGTGTACATGTCTGTGCGCAGTCCAAAGTTCTGAATGTCTGTTGGTTTCTCTTTGCCTTTGTCAGGAAAGTTGAGCATTTGTTGGGAAGCAGAGCTCTGTGGGGTTTTGGGCTGCAGAGGTACCAGCCCTGATGGCGTGTCAGCCAAGACATGGAAGTGAGAAGTGGGTGGAGGCCCCATTGGGGTTGGGCGACTCTCAGCATCCACCTGGTAGTTAATAAGACCCCATTGTTCTAGGAAGGCATGGACCCTCATGATGGCACAGACGTCACCTGCCAAGTTCCGACGGCAGGCAGTCGAGGTGAGATATTCCTGAGGGTTCAGTCGGTAAGTGTCAATCATGAAGTTTTGATAGGCCAGGTGGATCTCTGGAGTCTTGGACTTATTCTTGCCGTTAAAGAACTCAGGGAGAGCCCTCCGCTCAATGGCATGAACACTGTTGTAATCAAACCAGGCAGCACAGCTAGGAATGATGATGTGGTGGGTCTGCTCAGTCACATTGTCCGCATGCAGGTCTGGATTCTTGGTCTGCTCCCCCTTGTTTCCCGTACTGCTTTCATCCTCATCCTTGCCCGGGGTCTCCATGCCTTCATCCTCCTGCTCATCTAGGTCAGTCATGGTGCCTCCTTTGACTGGGGCTGACTCCGAGTCCTTCTTAGTATTGACTGTTTTGGGCAGGGTCACTTCTTCTACATTGGGGACTGGAGAGGGCTCATCCATGTCCTTTGTCAGGTCTTCTTGCTCTTCCTCTCTGTGGCCACGCTTTGACTTAGTGTAAGGTGTTGAGGGACCTTTCTTAGCATTTTTCTTCTTAGCTTCTGGGGTTGATGAAGGAGAGGGGGAGCGCTTTCTCTTCTTATAATTCCCTCCTTTCTTGTCCCTTCGATCTGAATCTGGGCTATTCACCTCATCTGTCAATGTCTTAGCTGAAATTTTCTTCCGGCGAGAGACAGGGTTTTTGTCATCATTTACTTCATAATCTTCCTCATTCATCCATTCATTGAAGGAGTCTGTGTCTAGGATCCATTTAGCATGAACCTTCCTAGGTTTCTCGGGAGTTGGGGCATCTTCCACAGATGCTTCAATTTCACTGGCTGGGATCCATGTGTCATAACTGTCAGGATAGTAGCCCCAATGCAGAAGAACCTGCTTATCCCTCTTCATGACTGGTCGTACCCATTCCTCTTCTTCTAGGTTCCCTGGGACGGGATACACAACATGGGAGGCATTGTTCTTATCCTCAGTGACTGTTCCCTGGTGTCTCTTGATAATGTCCTTTAATTTCCCCAGCAATTTAGGCTCAATTTCTGGGCACAGAAAAAATGTTAGGTCGAGACAGGCAATTATTCTGTACCAAAGACTTCTCAATGGTCATGAACATTTCTACATTGCGGTCCATGCGTGATGGATTCTGGAAATCATAACGCCGCCATCCCTTGTCACTCTTGAATTTGTAGGCAGCTGCAAGTATGTGGCATAAGGAGCCTCCTGCTTTGAAATCTTCTTGTAGTTCTTGCCGAGCCAGAGCCGCACGTTGTCGAACTGGGTCACCGTGTCCGCGGCCTCGTAGTACTTCACGTTGGGGCCGCCGTCCTTCTTCCGCACCGCCATCTTCTCGGGCTCGGGCCCCGCCGCCGCCGCCCGCCCCGCTCAGCTCCCGCCTCCTCCGCCTCCTCCTCCGCCCGCCTCCCGCCGCCTCCCCGCCGCGGCCGCCGCCTCCCGCCGCCTGGGCCGGCCCCGGCCCGCGTAGCGCCCCCTGCCGGCAGTCCCGGCGCGGCGGCGGCGGTGGCCCAGCCACAATGGATTGATTGTGAAATAACTCCAACCTTAGTTAAAGAGCACC